TTATAACTCCTTTTATATAATGAATTTGACTCATATATCTTTAAAATTACAAAAAATAACTCTTAATTATAAACTTATTTGAAAAGTTCTCAAAATTTTGAAAAACAAATATCAAAACGTGTCTTCAGCGTGTCGGCCACGTGTCCTGAGCGTGTTGGCCACGTGTCTCCAACGTGTCCTAAAAAAAAATTAACAATAAAAAATTCAAACACTTTTTAACGTGTCAGTGTCCCAAACATGTTTGATACCGATACTCTGGCCAAAATGAAGTGTCCGTACTTCCTAGACATCAACGACTTGGTGGTGAATTCGCAGAAAGAAAAGGACCACCTCAAGGACCTGCGGAGAGTATTCGAGAGGGGTATGAAGGACACCCTTCCCATGAACAACTTGAAATGTGCATTTGGTGTTAAGGTAGGAAAGTTCCTCAACCTCCATGTACCACTGACATGGCATAGACCCAAACGCAAGAAAAATAAAAGTCATCGAATCAAAACATGCCCAAGTTGTGGAGTCAGAAGCAGTTAAAAAGTTTCCTTGGAAAGGTGTCATACTTACGGTGGTTTATCCCAGCCTTCTCCAAGGTAACCATGCATTCACCCCCTTACTCAAGGAAAAATCATAGTTCAAGTGGACCACGGAGCAACAAATGATCCACAAGAAGTTAAAAGGGCCCTCAGTTCAACCTAATCCATGATAACTCTTTGGCTAGGCAAGCCTTATTGTTATATCTCATATCTACCGGAACGTCTATAAGTGGATTAACTACACAAGAGGTAGATAGTTTGGAGAAGTGTCTATCACTAAGGATGCAAAAGCAAGATACTCCAGGATAGAGAGGCATTGTCTAGCTGCTAGTTTTCGCGGTGCAAAAGTTAAGACATTACTTCCTCACCCATGAAGTAAGGGTGATCACCAAATGCAACCCACTCAAGTATTTATTGACGCGACCAGCCTAGGTCAAAAGGGCAGCACGATGGTTCCGCACTGTCAAAATTGGACATTAGGTGCATAACCCCGAAAGCGATAAAAAGCCAAGCTTTAGCAAACCTACTAGTATAATTTCCAAATGACGAGTATGAACCACTCAAGGAAGATCTGCCAAGGGAAGAATCTAAGGTCATGCAAATAACCGCGACTGGGACACTAGCCAAGGAAAAAATCGTAGCGACGGAAGCCTCCATGCTAGTGGAGCAATGCTAGTTCGACTAAGTGGAACTTAGCATTCAATGGGTCATAGACCCTAGGTGGGGGAGAAGAGGGGATAACACTGACCAAACCAAAAAAAGAATAACCTGATCATTGAAACTTGACTTCAATGTAACACCCCAAATTTCCTAAGCACATCATTTATAATGCTCCACAACTCATGAGCACGTTTATAATATTTCAAATAAAACCCTATCACTTCACAGCGATGCTTCTATTTCTTTAACCAAAAGCTATGACTTCGAGTTTACATTACCAAATAGACGCAAAACTTTTACAAGTCAACCCAGTGTTGTAAAAAGCGAGCCTAGGCGAGAAGTGAAGCGAAGCGAGCCTTGAACATTCAAGGCGAAGCGAGGTTAAGTAAATCGAGAAAAAAGCGAGCTTAGGCGACAAAGCGAAGAAGTGAGTCAGACGAGAAAAGCGAACACCTAACTACAATTTTTTTTATTTTCTCCTCCTCCTTCCCCCTCTTCTTCTTTAACATTAACCAAACTCTAGCAGAGATGATGTTATATGTGCATATGTATAAAATAAATTGATTGATTCGTGTAACAGTATCATATGACAATCTATCTTATTATGATTAGATAATATTGAATACTTTGTTTTAATGGGAATCCTCTTGTTAATCAATTTGCTTGGTTAATCAAATTGATTAATCAATTTGCTATTTACTCTATTTGATTAATCAATTTGTGAGTATTTTGTTTAGTGGTGATATTAATCAATCACGGTGAAAATCGAACCCACATTTGCTAACTTTACATTTAAATGACGTGATTATGTCAATTGATTATTTTTATAATACAATAATGTTCAATATTTAATATCTTATCTATTTAAAATATGTTGATGTTTATTATTTTGATTGCATTTAAATATTTTATATTTGTAAAGTTAAAACTTAAATATTTCAGAGTAATCAAATGATGAAACTAAAATATTTGCTTATTTTTTATATTGTTTGCATTACTTCAATAAAGCGCTCGCTTCACTTCTCACTTTTCGCCTAAGCCCTCAGGAGATGAGTTCGCTTCGATTCGTTTTTCACCTTAAATAACACTTGACTTCACGGGTTTCACAAACGTTACATTGCTAAAACAGGTACAAAATAATGTCTACCAAATCTAAATAAAGAGAGCATGCTCAACTCAGACCCCTCATAACCGGCGATTCCCACATACGTTCTGATCAAACAAGGCTTGAAAAAGCATAGCATTTCAATGATTGGGATTTAAAGCATCATTTAAGCATATGTACATATAACTTAAAAAGATTTAAAAATTGAAACAATGTTATAAATCTGCAGTTGATACCGTCACGTACCCAAATAGCAAAACATAGTTGTGACATACAGAGGAACAAAAATCTTAATGACCACGTCGAGTCTGCAGACAAATCAATGTCTCAATCAAATAAACCCTTTACGAAACTCACACCCAAAGGAAGATATGTTCTCTATTTCAAACAGTATCCAATCTTGAAAGACATAGGGCCACCAGAATCAGTGAATGAACCCATGAATCCATCTACGGACTCACCGCCACCCATAAGCCCTCTGTCGTTAGGGCTATTAAATGACAAGCTGGCTCGAGCTCGAATCATTTTTTGGCTTGCTCAAGTTCATTCAATTTGTAATACAAGCCGAGCATGAACAGAATTTTAGGCTCATTTTTATAAGAATCGAACTCGAGCTATTTGGTTAGATCATATAAGCTCGATACAATTTAATTTTTTGCTCGCTCAAGTTCATTCAATTTGTAATACAAATAGAGCATGAACACAATTTTAGGCTTATTTTTATACGAGCCGAGCCTGAGTTATTCAGTTGGATCATATAAGCTCGATACTATTTTTTTGTTAAATTTATTTAATGTTTATAGCTCTTCCAGCTGTCAACAACTCAACACACAAATCTCAATTAACTCACGCACCAACTGATCACGTAATTAACAAAAATTAGTTCCAAAAAATTCTGCCTAAACAAACAAACCAAACCCACTTTTGTAGAAGACTCCTTAGTCCCCTCTCTCTCTCTCTCTCTCTCTCTCTCTCTCAGGCCTAAGAGTCAAGGTCTCTTCCTTCGAGTAAGACCGAAATCAATAGATCTGAACCATCTAGTAAGTTGTTCTTGTCTTCTCTTTAACGCTACACTACGTCAAAGTGATTCTTTGTTTCTCTTTAAGAAATAAGAACACACTGCAAGTATAGTGTAGTCTACACAATAGAAGGCTGATTTTTTTATTGACCCCACTATCCCACTTCCATCAATATAAAAATATAGGATCTTTGAGTTAAAAACACAATGGTCCCAATAAATAGAAGACTTCATGCTTTCATATAATAGTGATAGAAAAGTTAAGCCTTTATATCATTTGACAGAGGAGTTGAAGATAGATTCTTTGTCCATATACAATATATCAATCAAAAATAGAGTAAAAGCTTTGATATTATGGCCCCATCACCAAACAACTCTGATTGTTTTTTATTTTTATTTTTTAAGTTTTATACTATTGTCAAAATTTCTTTTTTTTTTCTTTTTATGATATTTTTTTCACTATGTCAAGGAATCAATTGCAACACGACCAAATTGATTCCATTGCCTTGCCACATATTTCTATAGCTGATAGTGCAATAGAAACTAAAGCTGCTCCAAGGGAACAACAAACTCTAGCAGAACCACTCCAAAAAAAACTAAGCAAAAGAAATCAAAAGTTTGGAATGATATAACAGAGATGGATGACGATAATGGAAAACACAAAACAAAGTGCCATCACTGTGCAACAAAATATCTCATAAACGTGGGGGGTCCAACAAGTCATCTACTTAGATATTTAGAAACTTACATGTCCCGTCTACCTTCCAAATCAGGTGATTCAAAAGCCAAAATACTCCAAGGCTAAGGTTGACAGTCATGCTCGTCCGCTCCTGTTGCTCAGGTCTCCCTTCACGAGAGTCATACTTCCTTATCTCAAGGCAGTGACTTCTCCTCTTGATCCCTTGGGTCAGTCGAGCAACGATATACCATTTGCTAGGTTCATCCTTATGTAACATAGCTAGAGAAGTTGTGGCCAAACCCTTGTCTAGTTCAAAGGTACTGAGATATGTTATCCGCTATTCACCGGATCCTAGTTATGTCCATTTATCATTCCGTGTAGGATTGTCATTCTCGTCTCTTAGACGAGGACCCATTTACCATCCCCGTGACACTATACCTGCGAGCCACTCTATTCTCTAGGATGAGGATCCATTTACCATTTCTCACGGCAATATCCTGCGGCCACTCCCGTCACTTGGACGAGGATCCATTTACCATTCCCACGGTAGTATGCTCGCAGGCCACTCTTGTCCTTTTGGACTGGGATCTATTTTGCAACTTCCATTGTAATGGGGAAGTGCCCCCTACCTCCGCAGTGGCTAACACTTTCACCTGTGCTTGGCACTTTTTGTAGTGCTGCTACCTATACCAATCCGCGAAACCCTATTGGGATCTAATGTTCACATCAACCGGTGACTCCTCTCTAGGCTTGTCATTTGTCCTTCCATAATGTAGACATGTATCCTGAATTTATTGGCTATTACAACATACAAAGGCTCCCAAGAGAAGACCCGCAGAGAGCAATCAACCATAGCAAAATACCCAATGGTACAGAATAAACGATAGGAGGTCTAGGACTTGGCTTGCAAAGAAATCTTTTGCGCAAAACACATCAAAAGAATCGTTATGACTAGATCATGGGGAACAAAGAAACAGCAGTACTGCAGCCATCAAAAGCCCAGGCAAGGAGCTATGGTGTGCACGTGTGGGCCTCTTCCCGAGACCCAACATGCACAGGAGCCAAATGTAGTGGCCTATAAAATAAGGACACATGTATTGACCACAAAAGAACACGTGTCAAGGCTAAGAGGAGGTATGAGCTGACATGGCAGGAGGGGCCCACCCTCAAAGGACAAAGGGCCACACTAACCGACAAGTGACCACGGAAGGTATCCAGCACACCCTCTTCACTGCATAAATAGTTAAAATGAATCCTTTCCAAAAGGGACAAAAGTGGCACCACGGGATTGTAGGTGCAGTCTTGGCGCAGCTTAACTAGTATGTCTTCTCCATAGCGGGAGTGGTAAATGGACAATCGGGATCCCGCGAAAGGCAGAAAGCAAATCTCTAATGAAGCCTTGAGAGATACCTTCCCAAATGGGACCCTTAGAGAGAACCTGGAACGCATTGGACGCCCATAGTGGTAAAGTCAACCAATGGTATATTGTTGCTTGATTGGCCCAGGGATTGAGAAGAGAGGTCCTGCCTTGAAGTAAGGAAGTATGACCCTCCTCGAGAGAGAAATGAGCAACAAGGGGCTGATGAGCATGATTGTCAACATTGGCCTCAGACAAAGCTTTAAAGGTTTAGTCTGTTTGAGCAGGCCTCTCAGTGTATGACTTACTACTGCCCACTAGGCTGTGCTTGATTGAGATCTAGAGGCACTCCTAAAGCACAAGGGGCTAATAGTTTAAATCAATATATAAGATGATGGAAGGTAGATTGGTGGCTAAAGGACCGAAATTACGTGAGAATCCTTGATTGATCACCTTAGACGAGGGCCTCAAGAAGGGTTTCGAAGGGAAAAGGGAGCCTCGCAGTACACAAGCTCTAGGTTCACCACGGGCATAGCCTTTCTGCCATCATACTCCCATGGTGACCTAGTCATGCCCCTTCTACATCGAATGACCCTCTTACCTCGAAGAATACACCCTTTCCTTAGGGACCGAGTTTAGTCTGTATCCAACGAGATGTCACATCTGCCTAATTAATGTTTGGCGCACTTGGCGTGTAATGCACAACCCTCTACACAAAAGTAGCCAAGTAAGTGCAAGCACAGTTGTTATGTTCAACGTTAACTCTTGTACAAAGGCAAACGCGGATAGCCCGTTGGGCAGTCTCGACTACTCAAGTACATATGCTAAATACCCTCTTTAGTTACCCCTACAATACACACAACTGTCATGTCAAAGATAGATATTTCGGCTAGTGTGGAAATATTCATCGCCTCCACTTACCCGAGGAACCTTATGCCCAAAAGTTGGTCCCAACAATTAATAGACAGCTCGAGTCCTTCCATCCCATCCTTTTATCCTACTCATTTCTTTTGCAGACAAGAATCAGACACGTGTCAACCTCTTTAACTCTGACTGACAGAGAGCTACATATGCAAAGGCCCTAATGCAGTCAACTGGACAGAGGCATTAAAAATTCCAAAACAAATCTAAGAATGCACTGACAAAGGGTCCAAAAAACTGTTGAATATATAGATACTAATATTTTCTTTGTTTATTTGTTTTTGTGTGCCCCATCTAGCTATAGAACTATTGTTACGATAACCTCAGCTGAAGGCTCTGAAATGTTTCTTTATGTAGAAATTTTAAGCTCGGACTGAGAACCATAAGATTGCAGGTTCATAGGTTCAAATATGAATACCCCCACATTGTTCCAATAGTGCCAAAGACAAGTCAGTCTACACCATGCCCCCCTACCAGAACCCTTGAACAATAACAATATTAAGTCAGCCTGTGACCAGTGACCAGTGACCAGTCAGTCCTAACAAACAGGATGACCAAGCATCTCTCTTAGTTATCAGGCAGCTAGGTGCCACCACAAGAAATGAAAAGCATACTGAGTCTACCAAACAAAGAATGAAGGCAAAGATGAACAAATTCCCAAAAGCAAAAAACAAAGCTAAGCTAAGCTATCATCATTTGGTGAAAGTCAAACCACTAACTATCACGGGACACATCCTTCAGCCCAAAAATACATCCACCTAGAAAGAGGGAATGGGAATTAAGTCCCGACACAATTGATGGTTTTATTACTCTCAAATGCATATATCAGTGTTAGAGTGAATGTTCACATGACACTTGAAGGCATACTTTTGATAGGACTTGCTTACCCTTCTAAAAATACTAAAAGGCAACAAAACAATTCAACATATGCATATTCTGTGAAGCAAGTAATATAAACACTTACCAGTTTCCTTCAAGGGCCATGCTCTTCCCATGGTTAATTTCCTCCTTTGCAAATTCTTCTAATATAGCATGTTGTCGTTCATTTAGCACACTGTAAAACAAAATAAGAAGAAAGAGAACAATGACATAATGCCTCACTCCAAGTTCACCAGCAGCACAATAGCTCTGAAATTCCAAAATAATTGCAGCAAAACAAAGAATATAAATCTTATAGCATCCGTGATACATAGAGAATGCATCATGTATTATCTAACAGCACAATGCAGTAAGACTTTAAGCATCCACGAAAAGGAAGCAATGAAGAAAGATGAGAACCTTCTGCAAATTAAATCTCTTTTCAGTAAATATCAGAAGAAATGTGCAACATTCTAATTCTGCATGACGCCTTGCAAGTATATTACATGATCCAACAGTGTTAGTTGGATCCTGGCCCACTGACACATCAGCTAAAAGAAAGCATGAAAAGCACATAGAGGAGTATTCTTAGCAAATGCTTTTTTCTTTAATAATAGGCACTTGGGCCAGAGAAGAATTACAGCATACTAAGGAATTCTGGAAGTGGCAATGTCCTCCTGGGGTAACAAATATGGCTAAGTTCATCACTCTTCAAGCCACTCGTATAGAACTTGAGTTTTACCATACCAATGCTCCTTTTAACGTGAATTAGTCATTATAAAAATTGGCTTCCAAAATTCTTTCCAATTCTTGTTTTTAGATGGATTGCCAATGTTTGTTGAGCCCAAAGGTGAATCAATAGTCCCTACAAGTCATCGGCAGAAAAGCTCTCTCTAACACTTCTCATAAAACTAGAAACAAAACATCAAATTGAAAATGAATTTTCTATTGCCTATGGATCTGCAAAATAAATAAAAGCACTCATCTACGCTTTTCATATGACTTTCCAATATATCAAATGGAAGATGGCTTTCTATTGTCACTAAATATTCATCCAGAAGCAGTGACCCTATTCATAGCGAGATCTGTATTGAATGTTCTGTCAAAACAATATAGAATTCAAGCTTCCTAGCCTTTTCTACACGCACAAACAATCTGAAAGATAAACGATAATGAAGCTGTTCACAAGCAGTGCCTTCCAAAACACTCATAAGATCTATAGAATCCCTTGACAACTCTAAATTTATTACTTGGTACAATTGCCATTACAGCTAGGCAGAGCCTTCAGTAATGGTAAGTTTGCTTCCTATGGTTTCCATTTTTAAGCCACTATTTTGAACTGCTTAGCCTATAAGATAGCCTAGCACATCATCTTCAGAAAATGTCAATCCCAGAAATGACGGATATTAAGGGAAGAACATGAGAGGAAGGCGAAGAAAGAATGGTTCCTATTTCTACTGGCCATTATGACAATGCAATCTGTTACTAATCCGGCCCGGCTCAGCCCTCGGTGGGTCAACCCAGAAGCCTGTTGTGATAGAATCCACAGTTCATTGAAGAAGAAGAACAACAACAAAACCAGAGAGAAGGAAGAGAGAGAAGACAAGAGGCTCTCTCATTTTCATTCAATTCAATCTGTTTTGTACACACATGAATATGAATACATAGTCTTGGTTATAATGCCAGCTAGGACTAACTAACTAAATGGAATGCAACTTGCAGATGAGGTGAGCAGCTGCAGTAACAGAATTGGATTCGTTCACATGCTACTGCAAGTAGTTGATGTAAGAGTAATACTTGTGTGTGATGCTGGATTGGCTTAATATAGCCCCTCAAACTGATGGTGGGGGACCAACCATAAGTTTGTCCCAGAGAAACAAAAATCTGACAGGACAATCCTTCGGTGAAGACATCAGCAATCTGGTCTTTGGTGGAGATATAATAAACAACAAGAGATTTATTGGCCACCTTTTCTCGAATGAAATGAAAGTCTACCTCTATGTGCTTAGATCTGGCATGAAACAGAGAATTGGATGCAAGGGCTAATGCAAAAATAGTATCACACCATGGCTTTGGAGTATGAGATGGACTGTGCTGCAGACTGTGTAGAAGCAGTTGTAGCCATGTGAGTTCAGCAGTGGTTTGAGCAAGTGCCCCCTAAACCCAGCTTCAGTAGAGGATCTAGAGACAGTTGTCTGTTTCTTAGTGGACCAGTGTATTGGATTTGAACCAATATAAAGTTGAAATCCGGTAGTTGATCTTCTGTCATTGGGATCTCCAGCCCAATCAGCATCTGTGAATGCCGAAAGGGTAAGAGACCTGGGTTTATAGGAAAGTCCAAAATGAGATGTACCCTTGAGATACCACATAATTCTCTTAACTGCTACAAAATGTACATCTGTTGGAGTACTCATATATTGACAGACATGGTTAACTGAGAAGGTAATGTCTGGTCTTGTTTAAGTAAGACACTGCAGAGATCCTACAAGAGTTCAGTAAAGAGAAGGATCAGTTAAAGGAGAACCATCTGTTTTACCAAGTCTGAAAGAGGCTGCACATGGAGTCTTGCATGGTTTATAATCAGTCATTCTGGCATTGTGAAGAAGATTAGTAGTATATTTTTGCTGACTGATGAACAAACATGTGGATGTCTGCTGGATTTCCAGTCCAAGAAAGAAATGCAAAGGAACAAGATCTTTCATCTCAAAAGTATGATGAAGATTGGTCTTTAAGAGTGGTGATATATGTAGAACCATTGCCAGTAATAATGATATCATCTACATATAAGAGAAGGATGGTAATAGAACCTTGAACTTTTCTGATAAAAAGAGATGGATCAGCAGGAGATGCAGTAAAGGAGTAGTAGGTAAACAGATGAGTGGTAAATTTTTCAAACCAGGCTCTAGGAGCCTGTTTAAGGCCATAAAGGGACTTGTGCAATTTACAAACACAGTGAGTAAGAGGGTCAATAAATCCAGGGGTTTGAATCATATAGACATCTTCATGAAGATTCCCATGCAAAAATAAATTGTTGACATCAAACTGATGTAAGGGCCAATGAAACTAAGTGGAAAGGACAAGAACAAGCTTGACAGTAGCATGCTTAACCACTGGGCTAAAAGTTTCATGATAATCAACACCTAGTTCTTAATGAAACCCCTTAGCAACCAACCTAGTTTTATACCTAGAGACTGTACCATCAGAGTTATGTTTGATTTTGAAAACCCATTTACAGCCAATGAGATGGTGTGCAAGAGGAACCAAGGCCCAGGTACCTTGATCTTGCAAAACAGAGAACTCTTCTGCCTTAGCCTGTCTCCACTCAAGAAATTGAGAACCAGACGTAAAAGAGGTGGGTTCTGAAGCAAGATCAGTAGAAAGATATGCTTTAGGTTAAAAAATACCATACTTGGCTCTAGTCTGCATAGGATGAGTGGAAACAGGTTGAGATGAAATAGGAACTGAAGAGGAAGGATGAGAAGATACAGGATCAGAAATAATAGGGGACGTAGCAGCTTCAGTATCATGAATAATGGGTGAAGTAGAAGCTGCAGTAGCAGTAGCAGGAAGAGGAGATATTGTATTATGAGAAGAGAGAGGAACTGATATCTGAGGAAAAAGAAGTGGAAGTGGCTCATGAGAAAGAGGAGAACCAAGAATAGAGGGCTGAGAAGAATTAGAAAAAGGCAACCAATGACTAGGATCAAGAGGAATGTAAGAAGAAGAAGATGTAGACTTAGCATAAGGAAAAAGAGTTTCATTACAAAGAACATGACAAGAGGTGTAAATCCTGTTACTGAGAGGATCAAGACAAATATAACCCTTGTAATCAAATGGATAACCAATAAACACACATTGAGTGGTTTTAGGTTCAAGTTTATGACTCGAAAAAGGTTTGAGCAGAGGGTAACAGACATAACCAAAAATTTTAAGTGTTGAATAATCAGGAATGAATTTATGAAGAAATTCATAAGGAGATTTATTGCCTGTGTTTCTGCTAGGCATTCGGTTGATTAAGTACGTAGTTGTAGTAAAGGTATGGAACCAAAATTCGTAAGGCAAAGAAGCTTTGGCTAGTAGTGATGGGGATCGTGTAAGAATTGGATAGATATTATAGATTAATTATGACAGTTATTTAGAAACTTTTAATATTTATCTTTTAAGTATTTTCTTTTAAGGATTTAGTTGTCATTTTGATTCCTTATATATATAGGATTTGTGAACTCCTTATATATATAGGGGATACAAATTTGTTGTGGGATACTTTTGAATATTATTAACGACTGGTATTAAATATTTTGCTTCCTTCTCAAATTCTCTCTCTTTTCTTATCTTCTTCTTCTCTTCTCATCCCTAATTCTTCTTTAATACGATCTACATCAATTTGATATCAGAGCTAGTACGATCTACATCAATTTAGTATCAAACTTAGTATGATCTACATCAATTTGATATCAAAACCCAATTTCGATTCGTACCCAAAAAAAAAAAAATAATGTTCATTGCGCACTATTCATCATGTATTGTTCATCGCCATACGTAGTGGGAAAATAAAACATAAACAGTCAAAAAAAAAAAAACAGAACTGTCTCTACAGTCTTGAAAATTACAACATCATCCCAACTGTTCCAAAAATTACAGAAACACCTCAAAAAATTCTAAAAGTTGCAAAACCACCATAAAAAATTTTAAAAATTACAGAATCTTCTCCCAGAAGTTCCAGAATTGCAGAAACATTACCAACAGATCCACAAAATTACAAAATCATCCCCAAAAAGTTTCAAAATTTCCTCTTGATTATGGTATGCATACTCTCATAGAAATTTGAGACTAATATTTTTATTCATTGAAAAATTAGAGAATTTGAAAATAATCCAAAACACATTTTCTTCTATTCAAACTTTCTTACTTTTTAAAATTGTCAATTGCATTCTTGAACTTGTTCTTATACTCATAGTTATACGATGCGTCACGATAAACCAGAAAAACAATAGGTATCGTGTCTTTGTATCGTTTTTGCACTGTATCGTACGATACACGATCCGAAACTATACAATACGCTCAATACGTAACGATTCTGTTTTTTTTTTTTTTTTTTTTGGATTGAAATAACATCATTTTACCCTAGGACTTATTTTTAAATCACTAACTAGTAAAACAACGTCATTTCAGTAGTTATATTTTAAAATAAATAAATAAAGTTTAATGTTAATGTTATTCAATTGAATTCAAAATTTTTGATTAATATTAAAATTGTTCAAACAGTTAATATTAGAAGTTTGAATTAGATGTCTTTGCATTTTGATATTACTAAATATGTTGAAAACTTGAATAGTTGGTAGAATATTAATGAAATACTATATTATTATAACTCTATGATTTTTTTATAAAGGTATATATATATATATATATATATATATATATATATATATATATATATATATTTTTATTAAAAATCATTTAAAAATTAAAATTGTGTGTATCTTACGATACAAAATAAATGATACAATACGATACACTATTTTTAAAAAACGATACGCCTTCCGATACACGATTTGACAACTATGCTTATATTA